TGAAGCCTTTTCCAGGAAATCTACTTGCAAGGGATCTGAATTGACGCAAACAAACCTTGCATACTATTTGCTAAATATATAAATTGATTAGGATTCATAAAACAACCTTAGCTAAGGAAGGATCTAACGAAAGGTAGACTATAAAAGAAGTTTAATTTCGAATTAAATAAGTATAATAATTAAGATGGCATGTTACACACTTATTTTAACTGCGTAACAGTGTAATCCTATAACAATAGTAATTCCATGTATAAATATTGTTGTATATACGAAGATAAAGCGGGTTTCAATAAATCTCATAATATATCGTTGTTGTGGAGACTTGCATTTGGTACGAAAGTCCATGATGGAGAGATAGGAAGGTTGATCTCACCAGCAGAAGACGGTTGATTGGCGTTGTACTGCAACTATCTGACTTTGATACGACGTTCAGGTTGACGCAGTCCACGAGACATTCTCCCTTGTTTAGAGCGAAAACGGGTTGAGCTTATGTTCGTCATGTGACAAATTATTGCAAAGGTCTCAGGCTAACACTAAGCCAAGAATACTCACCGGTTTTATTCCACATATTATATAGACGCATAACGACAAACTATGGAGGCATAGAGACAGGTTTGGTTAATTCTCTCATGTTCGAGTGTGTCTGTCTATGTGCATGTGCATTAACGTCTGCATAAGACTATATGATAATTAATTAAACCAATCTATATTTATCTATAGTTAAATAGTTATTGTCTTACTGACTTAATGTTAATTTGAGACTTATAAGAATGAGTTCCAGTTCTGATGAGGTCCATCAAATGATGTCCAAAAGCTTAGTTCGGTTTCCCCCGAAACGAGAGAGGAAGTTTCGCGGATTGCGTCAACATGAAAGTCATATTAAGGCCAAACGGCTGCAGAACAACGGAAATCGGCTTCTGTCTTCAAGTACGATCTAGCAAAGTTTCTCTTCATCATGAGCTTTCATATGAAATGGAAGTCTCAACAATAACTATTGTTGCGGCCAAGTGGGATATGAAATGTGAAGTTTGTCAGAAATAAAGAGAAACATGAATCATCTAAGAAGATTAAGTTATGCAGCGTCCAGTTTCCGAATTCTAAAAAGAATGCGAAGTGAGAGTAGAAAGTAGAGAGACGAAGGCATGTATTACGAGAAAATATAGACACAAAACACAAAATGAGGAGCCTAAGAAATAAATATGAAACTGGGATCCCACCTGTTCAGATTTCCTTCGACCTGTGCCAGACCCGGATCAGTGGAGGTCCAGCAGATGCCGTCCGAACCGGTTGACTCGTTCTGGATAGGCAGCAGAGAGGTAACGGGCAGTTCGACGATGAGCTGAGCGTTGACGAGATAGAGAGATGGGAAGCAAATAGACTGTAGAGTTCAGTTGAAGCTCTACAGAGCACAGTAGCTGGCAAATGGGCGCCGGTATGATGATAAAGATGGCATAAAGTAGACCTCGTAATGAAGACTAGATTCCAGAGTCTCTCATTAGAATGAGGACTTACCCTTTTAATACGGAGGCGAAGACCTTGGTTACAAGGGGCATTGTGTAAAATAATGTAGAGGATACCTCGTTTTGATAAAAAGTTTAATTAAGCATTTAATTACCCATAAATAGCTTAGATGCCTTTATGTGATCTTTCAACATATGACAGCGATCAAGTACAGTCTTCGAGGTTTTAGCATCAAAGCAGTTGGAAAAAATGAACAAGAATTCTTAACTCCAATAGTCGAAGGGTCTGCTTGTGCGGGGTCGAATGAAATATGCTCATGAATTACGATTTTCAATAGGAAATCCCTCCAAACTGCAGATAAACGGTGATTCCCGCTTCGCAAGAGAACTATGACAACTAGGATAGACTATATTGGTATGTAAGTAGGGTTTCGAGACTACCAGTAAATCAGTGTAATGAGATGTATTCACCCTATT